AAGAATAAGATTTGGGAAAGAGAAAAAAATCAAGTCTATGATATGAAAAAAAAAAGGAGGTGGGGAGTTACAGGGACTAACGCTTGACTACAATGAGAGGAAGGAGGGTCGGTGCTGCTGTGATCCCTTCCCGGTGGGTGATGCCTCTTTTGTTGGGGAAGAGCGTGGACACCAAGCTGGAGGGCTTGTGCTCTTCCTGGTTGAGTATAAAGAGCCACAGAATGAGAATGAAGAACTTGGGTTATAGCTCCGTGGCTGCTGCTGAGTAGTTATCTCATTTAGGCAGTTTTCAAATTTTCTCTGGGCTCTGGGTTCTTCACCTGTAGAGTAAAGGAAGTGGACCGAAGAGTCCCTGTAGCCTTGTGAAAAAGCAGAGGCAGGGTTGGGGATTTAGCTCAGTGGTTCTGCCACCTGCCACACAAACACGAGGTCCTGAATTTGATCCCTGGTACCAAAAGAAGAAGCAGAAGCATATAATTTTATTTTAAACTGGTTGTGAGCATTTTACAAATACAGCAATATGAATAACATTATCAATAAAAATAATGCATCATTAAGTGCTCTTAATGAACCATGCAGAACATTCCTGCCCAATAAGATATTATAGTCCCACTTTTATGAAAGCAGAGTATGTGGTTCAAAGAAATTAGACAATGTGCTTGAGCTCAGGTAGCAAGTGGCTGAGTCAGGATTTGAAGGCAGGCTAGTCTGTTTTGACGTCCACAGTGGGCCTGGGGTGGGGAGTGTGCTACTGCATTCCTTAGCAAATGTCCCGTAGAGGAACCTAGTATCGTTTTAACTCAGAAACCCCAGTAACTACCTGACTCCCATCTTCAGCCCCCACCAGTCCAGTGATGACAGCCTCTGGAAAACAGCTCCACCAGAGACTTTTGAAACCATTAGAAAACACTTAGCAATTGCCCTCCTGAGCTGCATCCCAGCAGCAGCCATTCCGGCTGGTGTTGTAAGGCCTGCAGCAGATTGAGTCAAGATGAGCAAACTGTTCCCTAGAAACCAGCCCTTCCCGCTCCTCTCCCCTGTAGACCTTGAAGCAAAATCCCCTTGTTAATTCAGGGGGAAGCATCATGTGACTTCGCTGTCTCCAAGGCTGTCATTTGCCCATTCACCCAGTACTTATTTGCAAAAATTTCTTCTGTCTGGTTGCCATCAAATCTTTTTTCTTCAGTGTCTCAGTCTACTCCCTTCCAAATTTAAAATTGGCCTCCATTATTGTATCAAAGACATCAATCGAAAGTCGATACAAAGCATAGAAGCTTTTCAGTGATTCATTCTTTGCTTCTGATCATTATAATTCTAAGTGTCTGTAAGTGTACTCTTTAAAGACCACTAATAAAATCATACTCTTAAGGATATTTAAATCTCCTATGCATCCTATGTGTATGAATTTATAAATGCCGTATGCATGTGTGTACGTGTACCTGTAGCTGAGATAAGTAGCAATATCTGCTTGTAAGTAAGTACCTTAAACACACACATATGAAAAGTATCTTTCTGTGAAGAGTAGAACCTGGGCCAATCGTTGACTTGTTTTTCCTTGAACAATTCCCCCGCCTTTGCCCTGCTCTGCCCTGTTTCTAAAGGAGAGAACTTACAGATTTTTGTATTTATTTTCAAAATATTTATTTATGACACATAGCCATATCTGTTGAAACTAGAACAAAAAGCCAAGGGCCTACTGTTGGAAAATGAGGTCTAAAGGAGCTTCACCATACTTTCTCAAGCATCCGCAGCCAACCCTGGCTAACTGTACCGTTGGAGTATAGACTGCTTAATGTTCAGGATAAGTTTGGGGATGGTAACTCATTTTCAGGACAGAATAGAACCTGTGTTATATAGGGTCTGGTCAGGAAAATAGAGCTCACAGCGCTGTGTTCAAAAGAGGGGACTTCATATGGAGAACTGTTTATAAAGGTATGCAAAGAATCAAAGGAGCAAATCTTGAGGCACATAGGGATTAGGAACTTAAGAAGCCACACCCCTCCCTAGGAAGAGCCAGAGTGGGGGCTAAGGAGGAGGGACTGCTCACAGACAGCTGGGCTCAGAGAGCTGGGTGCTTCCTGGAGCCTGGGGGGTACACGGCCCTATCCAGAGAAGCTGCCAGGAGCAGAGAAGGCAGTGGCGCCCTGGCTGTTCTCTTTCTCACTCCCCGCTATCTGCTGCCAGAGGCTATCAGTGAAGAAACCTAAATAAAATCAAGGGAGCCTGGAAACGTATCTGGCCAGGGGGAGCCCTGTGAAATACGAAGCAGGGCTGGCAAGTGAAGGGAATGTAGCCAAGAGGAAACACAGGATGACTGGCCCCAATTTCATCCCTCAAAAATTAGTTAAGATCTTTCTTAATGATTGAGATCTATATCTGGCTGCAGATGCTCGTGTGTATATTGCATAAGAACATGGACTGTCTGTGCATAGTTGCTTCTGTGTGTGACTTCTGTGGCCCACACTCAGGTGGGGGCGTATGGAACCTGGGGGTGATGTGTGACTTGCTTTGTCCAATCAAATATGAGAGGAACGGATGCTTGCTCGGTCTCAATAGAAGCCGTGAACTATACCATGTCTGCACCGTGTTCTCTTTCCCCCATCACAAGATCTGTGATGCCCCAGATTTGATAACATGACCGTGTACCTGGTCTCTATTATGCAACTTGGGACGTGGTGTAACTATTTCATGTCTTACAAATTCACTACGGGGCCCATTGTTTTAAATGTACAGGTGCTCCACATGAAAAGATGTCTGGAATTTGAATGAAAATAAGTTCACATCTTAGAAAAGATGACTAACATACAATTTAAGAACAAGTTCACCCTATGTTTCCCAACTTTTCAGACACCTAATAGTTGTAAAGAAATAAAAAGGTTTCACTGAACACTGTATTGAACTCCGAATAACTAAAACTTCAAGATGTACTCACAAAATTAGCCCCAGCTAACGGCCCTTGTGGATTCCCAGAAGTGATGTTAAAAAAGAAAAGAAAAAACTCCCTGGCCATGTCACTTCCTTACTTAAAAACCTTGCCCTGGCTTGTTCATATAATCAACGCTTTCAAGTGTCCCAGAAGATAAAAACCAGACTCCTTTGCTTGGCATAAAATCTAACCCCATTTACGTCTAGCTCTATTTGTGTCCGATCCTCAATGTGTTCCAGAAACTTCACTTCTCACTATTCTTAGTAAGTTGTCTTTTCTTGCTGCCTGCTTGCCATCCCCTGTACACTGAGAGTTTCCTCTCCACTCTGACCCCTGTGTAGCTGACGATGGCCCTCACCACACCCACTGTGCTTCTGCTGTCCAGGCCTCTCTTCCACTTGATCTTGGTGTCTTCATCTCCATCCACCAAGGAACTGTGAAATATCGGGATGAAGGAGTGATGGATGAATGGATGAATGAATGAAGGAGTTTCCCCATTTACCCTCATGAGCTGCTCTGAAATCATGAAGATCTTGGAAATTTTGAGAATTCCAGATACCCCAGTGTCAAATTTGATATCATGTTAATTACAGGAACAGTGTTTGATGATACTGGGTGTAGTTATGTCTGTTTCATGTAGAGTATTTGGAGTAAGTTAACTTTAGAGCTAGAAAGAAGGAGAGACTCAGCCGACTGCCTTCAGAAAAAAGTTAAGTTGTTCTGGACCAAAAGAGGTTAAGTTGGAAGACTGCAGCGAGAGGTCCCACACCAACTCAGTGTTCTTTTTATTTCGCTGTCCTCAACTGTGTTAAGGGAAGTTTGATGATAGGAATGTTCACAATACAGTAAATATAAATAGGAAATAAATCATACAGAAAATAATCGTATTTGACATTCGTCAAATAGATGCAAATTAAGCTTCACTGGTATCATGTTACACCTGCTAATTTTTAAAAATGAAATGGTCGGAGGCTGCTAGGAATCTTTAGAAGATTCTTACATACTTCTAATGGCAATGTAAATTAGTACCGCCTTTTTGGAAAGCAGTGAAGGAATACAGAACAAGAGTCAGAGCGTTCATACTGTTTTGACCCTGTATCTAAGCTACTGGGGATTTAACCCACGAAATATGTTAGCAGTACTGAAAAAAAGTTTGTAAAAAAATTTATTACTGCGCTTCCTAATGAGAACCTCAATATTCAACAGGATGGGATGGTATTAAAGCAATGAAATATTTTGCAGCCATTAAACATTATAATTATATAGCTTACATGGAAGTATGGAAATATATAATATAAATTGGATACGGGGAAATCAAAATAGTATATACATTATGGCAACAACTCTATAAAAACTCATTCTTATCAGGAAGCCACTGGGTGGCAATTTTTAAAATAGTTATGCTTAGGTGGGATTACGGTTTTACTATTTTTATCCACATTTTTAAAAAGTTGCTATGACATACTGTCTCTCATAAGAAGCGGGTGGAAAGTAAATTCATTCAGCGGTGGGAATTAAAGGGTACAAGGGGACACAAGGAGACAGGTGAGTTATATGCGTTTCTGCCCCAAGCGTGCCCCTCCTGCAGTGGTGGGAATGGAGAACGGAGTTGCAAAGAGCGCCCTCTGCGGGGAGTCTGTTTAATTTGCAGGAAATAGAGGACGAACTTGCTGAAGAAATCTCACTCAATTTTGCTGAGAGCTTCTGATTTGACTTTAATCTCTAAGCAAAAGCCCAATTTTTCTTAGATCTCCCCTGATAGCCATCAAAACAGCTATTTGTCAAGGGTCTAACTCGTTTCAAGCCCCGATCTTTGGAAACTTTACATGTTTGCTTTATTTCATCTTTATAACAATTGGACAACCATAGTACGTTTTCCTTTTCACAAGGCACGTTCTAGAACACTAGGTCTGCTTTCAGAATCCCCTTCTGTTGAGTAATACCTTAGGCCGAACTGATACACTGGCTGTGGTCACCAAGGGCTGGGAGCATCACTTCCGTTTTGCGATGACCAAAAAGGTCCTTAGGCCGAACTGATACACTGGCTGTGGTCACCAAGGGCTGGGAGCATCACTTCCGTTTTGCAACACTTCTGTGTTTCCAGGTGTTCTGTTGGGTGAGAGGGTGCCACCTTCATTGAGAAGTGTGAAGAGATTCATACCCATCCACCAATAAATGTTTATCAAGTCCCTTTTCCGTGCCTGACACTTTGCTGGCACTAGACACACTTAGTGGGGAAGACTGACATTTAAAAGCGTGCTGTAAAATGAAGCAAATGCTACGCCAGACCAACGTACTGTGAGCCTGGAAAGCAAAAGCCCTCTACCTGTCTGGGGTGTCCCAGCTTGGCTTGGTGACCTATTACCATAAAGTGACTCCAAGGAGAGGCCCAGGTTTGCTGTGTGAAGACCTCCAATAATGTGTTCTCTCCACCACTTAATTACTAGCTCAGCTCAGGCTCCCTGCTTATTCTCTCTAAAAAGTCACTTCTTCCTGTGAAAGATGGAAACTATACTGCTGTCAGTCTACCTTCCTCTCTGGGTGGATTTCAGAAAATGCACTGTGCCGTGCAATACAGTTAGTAATGGAGCAGGGGGTTGAGTTGGCGCCTAATTTGTGTTCTGTGCTGGAAATCAGACGTATCTAGAAATGTCCAGTGACTCGGCAGGGTGGGTAACCTACTGGCATCTATTTCCAGCTGGTTTCCCTGGATTCTCATCTGAGCCCTGTAGAGAGAGGTTGTTTGCAGAGGCCGAGGGGACTGTTGTCATGTGGGGCTCCGTGAAGCACAAGGGTTCAAGCAGCGCTGCCCGTTACCCACACAGCAAGGTGAGGCCCAGAGCTGCGGGAGCGGGGTGGGCATGGACGGGAAACGCTGGCTGCGCCTCTGCTGCTGAGACAGTGTGCCTTTACCTCCCTGAGGACCTCGCGTCCGCAGTGCTGCTTTGGACCCGAGAGTAGATGCAGGCTGCTGCCTGGCAGCAGTGAGGAGAAGCTCACGTTTGAATGGCTTAAGGGGCACGAAACATCAAGCAGGATGGCCTAGAGGAAAAAATAAAAAGGCAAATGATCCGTACATGTAGGTGAGATGACCCCTGCGTACTCCTGAACTAGTAAGAAAGTTCTATTCTGGATGAGGGTATTAACAACCGCGATGTGATTTACTACGGTTAATGTGACCTTATTTATACCCACAGGCGAGGAAAACTTGGGTTACTGTTATTTATTACGGTGCGGATATGTGTCACCGCGGCAGTAAGAAAGGCGATGGCTGTCCAGAGGCCAGCTCCCAGCATGCATTGCCTACTTCACTCCCCGCCCCCAAGGCCAGGGACCGGCCATTACCACGCAGAAACCCAAGTTTGGGACGGCTCTGCCTTTCAGTGCACAGGGACAGGAGAGTAGTTTCCCGAAACCATCTAATTCTTAGTGAAAGCAAAATAACTCTGCAATTCTTGTCAAAAGGAGTGGTGCCTGGCAGTTTGACCCTTTGATTTCTGAAAGCCTCAAAGCCTCCTGTTTTGAGAGCTAGTACACCGTAGATGAGTTCTCAGGCTAATTAGCTGGTTGAAAAACCTTCATTTTCCCTTTTCAGACCCTTCCTACTGCTATAGACTGCAGTCTCCCAAGAAAGACAACAACAATATATCTCCTCCCACCAGCACTTCCTACAGTGTGACCCTGGCCCTGCTACCACAGAGTGAAGCAATCTAGATCTACATCGGTCCCCTAGAGCCTACTTGAACCTTGGTGATTACTTTAAATAGAAAGTGCTAGAATGACCTTATGCCACTGCTAAAGCTGAAGCATCAAAATAGCATGCGCTCTGCCTCGCTCTCTCAAAACACCAGGTCTGAGTGCCCAGCAACCCATCCATGGGGAGGTCCCCTGGTGAGGAGCGAGGATCCCAATCCATAGCCCGGATGAGCTTCTGGAAAATGGCCACCACCACCTTGCCAACCATGGGAGTGAGGCGTCCTAAAATGGACGCCTCAGACCTTGCTGTATCATCTCTTTGTGAGGCTGACACAGGGCTGCAATCTCAGTCCTTTTGTTCCTTTACTCACTTCTGAGCTGTGCCATTCTGTTTTATTCCTGTTCGTATTATTACTATTCTATTTATTTATTGTTCTGTTTTATTGTGGTAAGTAGAGTTAATTGCTTTCTAAATCCTACTGGATCGTATTTTGGAATTTGTCTCATCACAACAGATTTGATTTGGTTCGTTAATTCTGGTCCTTCTTGGAAAATTGCAGAATTTGAGAAGCACAACATATTACTTTGATGCCCAAATTCTGATTGCTTTTCTAAAATTATCAGAGCCATAAAGGGGACTGTTCTCTAAATGTACCACACCCTAGAACTACAAAATGATCGCTCATGTTGTGATCTGGTCTGATGTGTTGGACTGGGGCAGAGGGGGTAGACAGAAGGGGGTGGCATTTTTGATTTATCATCAGAGTCACCTTCCCTTTACACCTCATTTAGTGTGATCTTTAGAAAGATATGTCCTTGTCCTGCTCTCATTTAAAACAAAGACCCCTCTCAATGATTTTGTCAAATTGGGGCTTGTGAAGAAGGGGGAGAAAAACTGGTAAGGTCTGCTGTTACACTAATTTCACTTATTCTCACCTCATTTCAGAACCGTGTTATTCTTCCTGCTGCATTTCCACCAGCCATTTCCTCCTGCAACCTGTAGGTTTCCTGCAGAGAGAGGACAATGGGCAAGTTAAGTGAGAGATGATTTACAAGGCTTTTTTTTTCTTTCTGCTCTAATTTATAGGAAAATCATCCTGGCATAGGAAGACAAGCTAAAGCTCCACATCACTGAAGGATTTGTGATGATGAAAAAGAAAATGAATTAATAGAGTACATTTTATATTAGTAACACCAAATCTACCTGAGGGTACCAATTCATCCATGCCTCAGATATTAGCAAAAATATGTTTTAATTGAAAACATATTTGCCTTTCTTTCAGACAGCACTCTTTATTCTTTTACGAGTATTAATTTGTATCTGTTTCAGCTAGGAATATGTTTGGATATGTAAAATAGAAAATGCAAGGGTGGGAAAATATTTTAAGAGGTTTAAAGCCACAAAATTCTATTCTTTCATTTAAAAGACGTACAGAAGGGAGCAGTCAAAGCTGTAGGGCAGCACTGCAAAGACACTGGGAATCAAGACAGCCTCCATCTTTCTGCTTAACCATGATCAGCACACAGCTTCGTAAGCTGGCTGCTGGTGCTCCAGCATCTTGTCTATGATCCTGGCAACCAGAAGAGGAAGGGAAAGGAAAACTCATGCAGCATCTTGCTGAGTCTGTTCTGTTGAAGAATGTTCCTTGCAGATTCCTGAAAACAGTTCTGCTTACAATTCCATGGCCAGAATCTAGTCCCCCTTAGCTGCAGAGGAAGCCAGAGAAACAGGAGCATTTGCTATGGTCTGGGTGCTGCTGGAGTGTGTCCCTCAAAGTTGCATGTGTGGAAGGCTTGATCTCAGAGTCCCCCTGAAGCACCGGGGCTGCTCCATCCTTGGCAGGGATTAATGCTGTTCTCATGCAGGGAGTGGAGTCTCACAGGAGTGGACTAGGTCCTGCAGGGTGGGTTATTTTCAAAGCTAACCTGGCCGCACACCGCTGTCTTGTTTCCTGCCTTATCCAGTGACACTATTCCCTCTCCCCTGCTCTCAGTCTTTCCTGCTCCCTCCCTCTTTTTCTCTTCCATGAACTTCCCCAATAGGATGGTATCTACCATGTAGTGACAGGCTATAAGGCCCTCCCCAAAGGCCATTCCGCTAGGGCTGCGCCATCTGGGAATTTAGCCTCAAAAACTGTAAGCAAAACAACTCTCTTTTCTTTATAAAGCATCCAGCCTTGGGTATTTTGTCATAGCAACACAAAGTGACTAACTTCATCTTAGTTCACAGACACCCTCTCCACTTTTCTCCAGCACTTACTAGCTACACTGCATGATATGAGTCTCCTTCAATTATTCTGTGTTCAGCGGACAAGGAAGCTGTCTTTACTAAAACTGTGAGCTCCTTGGATAATTAATTATCACGTTCCTTTTACTGTATCATTCACAGTGCTTGATATGGGGCTAGAATGTGTTGCCATTCCCCAGAATTTTAGAGGTTCTATTTCTCATGAAAAGGAGAACCATGAGCAGTAGCTAAGTAGCCAGCAATCAGACACAGTATCATTAACATCTGATGATTCGCTTATTGTGTATGCAGCCCCTCTGCCCGGGCTCATAAACCAGAGCCATGAAGAGTGTGACTGCACTCAGGAAACTTACAGTTTTAGCAAACAATGCTTCCTGCTCAAGGAACACAGGAAAACAGGAGGGAGCAATGAGTGGCTCATAGGCTACATGGTACAGATAACTGGAGAAGAAAAGGACCATCGAAAACCTTGGTGCGGATGCTTTGCTGAAGAAAACAGGACCTGCTATGGGAATTTATGATGTTGAAGTGCAGCAGCTAATTCTATGCATCCACTTGACGGAGCCACAAGGTGCCTACATGTTTGGTTAAATGTGATTGTGCGTGTATCCATGATGACGTTGGTGTAAGATATTGCTATTTAAACAATAAGCTCAGTGAGGCAGATTTCCCTTCCCACTTATGACAGGCTTCATCTGACTCACTGAGGGGCCTGGAGAGAACAAAAAGCTGAATATGAAAGAATTCTCCCTCTACTTGACTGACTTTAAACTGGGAGACTGGTCTTCTCTTGCCTTTTGAATTGCGCTTGGAATTGAATCGTACACCGTTCTTCCGCACGTCCACTTTACCAACTGCTGATTTTAGGACTTTTAAGCCCCCGTAACTGTAGCCATTCCCTATAATAAATTTATTTTCCTCTCCCTGTCTTCTTCCGTTCCTCTCTCCTTTTCTCCCTCCCTCCCTCACCCCATTCCTATATACATACCTAAATGCTGCTGCTTCTCTTTCTCAGGAAACCTCTGACCCATACAATGACTCTGCAGTGACTTTTGGCATATTGAGTATCTTCTAAACTGCAGCCTCAGGAATAAAGAGGAAGGTTGCATCCCTTTTTCTGAAGCGGTGTATGAGCTACTGAGGGAGGAGGAAGAAGACAACCCATGACAAAGTACAGTGACAGAAGGATGTGCCAAGTTGTAAGGATGCAGGGAAGGGCCATTAAGCGGAGGCAAAGAGGGCCTCCAGGAGACAGGGTGAGACTACGTCTTAAAAGACTTCTCTAAGAAGTGGTGGCCAAGTGGGGGTAAGTAGCACAGACTTGGAAGATGGTGTTTTGGGTTTTATTTTTGTTGGAAAGAGTATGACTGTTTAAAGACTGAGAAGAAAGTACCAACAGACTGGGAGACATGAAAAGTATTAGTGGGAAGGGGATACTGGTTGAACAGAGAAGGCTGGAGGAGAAGGAACTTAGAGCTCATGGGAAGAGTTTAGCTTTCATTCAGAATGAGAAGTGGAGCCAGGTCACTTGGGCATGGAGTTCAGGGCTCAAGGAACCTCCAGGTTCATCTGGGTTATCCGTCCTAAATCCCCAGCATGGACAAGGAGAATCAGAATATGAAAATTGACTTGTCCCAGGGTTAAGTGGGGCAGGTCAGTAAAGCCCCCCGTGCTGCCTTTCTCAGGCATCTGATTATGACCCAAAAAAACTCTCCTGGGAGCAGAACCCAGAAGATGCCCCCAGGCCCCACACTGTCTGGTCTTTTCCACTCTTACCTATGACGTCTCTCTGTCCCCTCTCTGGCTCACTCACCCCGAAGTCTGGCAAACCCAGTGGGTTTCCTTTGGCCATCCCACCTTGAGTCAATTTCGTCAAACTTTTGCCCTCACTGTCCTGAGTGGTGCAATCTATTGTAGTACCTTGGATGCTGAGCACAGACACATAGGATCTCCAGCTTCCTGAATACAGAGCCACAGATGCCCGGGATCTGATGTCCTTGGGAGGCACAAAGCGCTCATGGGAGTCACGCTGGCTCTGGCACAGCCCCTGCCCCTTCTGTGCGGCAGGCACTGCCTGCAGGCTCAGAGCAGCTGGCAGTGTAAGGAGGGTGACAGAGACACTCCAACATCTTCACATGCTACGTGGTTTCAGATGGGGGTGGTTTGATTTCTGAGATTTTTAATAAATGCAATAAGAGCACCATTTATTTCCAACTCTCCAGTAGGATTATTAACTTTTTCTTCCAAAGATAAACTTGATTACATTACTTATTTATACTATGTACATTACATTAAAAGTTTAAAAATGCATCAGGGTAAAAGAATCATATACACTTTCTGAAAATTAGTGCTTTCTTATCCACCACTAATAACAGCTTAGATTATTAAAAAGGAAAAATCTTAAATATGCAACTCACCTTCAGGTTTTGTTAGTGCTTGTTTACTTTTACACGTTTTGCTAAACTTGACAGACAATCTAGAAATATCATCGCTACACACTTTGAATACTTCATTTTTATACCACAGCTGAGCTTTTGCATTGATGCATTGGAAGTAACTTGGTACAGGTGAAAAATGGAGGCTCAGAGCTGTATATATTTAAGGCTAAAAGGCAAATGTGCCTTTTTATAAATGGAGAGGAGGGTACACAATTAAAAAGCAATTGTAGTTGTAGTTTTTATAGGTTTATAAATAGGAATGAGAAATAAACTTACTGGGTGTTTATTACGAAGCAGCACCGTGCTAAACACATTACATCACATTCAATCTTGACAGCAATCTTATGAAATAGCTGAATATGAAACAAATGAATAAATTGGACCTAGATGTGCTAAACTGCCTAAGAATAGTCAAGGGATAAGTTAGAGGTTAATCCTGTGTGTCTGACTCTAAAACCTCCCTCTTAACCATTGTCCTGCATGGTCTCCGATGTCGCTCATCTCTAGACCCTCTAATACCAACTACCTCAAACACTGCTCTGCTGCTGCTGGGAGGGTAGACGGGTGCAACCACTGTGGAAATCAGTATGGAGACACCTCATAGAACTAGGGTTGGAAGTTCCATTTGGTGCAGCTACTCCCCTGTGGGGTATCTTCCCTAAAGAACTAAAAAGAATCATAGCACAGTGATACATGTGCACCCATGTTCATAGCTGTACAATTCATGATAGCTAGAACTTGGAGGCAGCCCAGTTACGCTGTAACTGGAGACTGGATAAAGAAAATGTGTTGTTTTCTTTTTAATATAAAATGGAATTGTATTCAGCCATAAAGAAATGAGAAATTAGAGACATTTATAGCTAAACTGATGCACAGTGAGGTGATACGCTTAAGTGATATAAATAGGACACACGTGTAGATACTGAATAGTTTCTCTGGTGTGAGAAACAAAGTGTAAATAAGGACTGAAAGGTATAATGGATAATGTGAAATAGGAAGAAAAGGGACAAAGAGGAAGTGGAAAGGGGAGGGTTGAGAGAAAGAAAAGAAGGGAATGGAATTCATGTGAGAAAGTGAAAAATAATGGAAACAATGTCTTTATAAAGAGGGAGGAGGGCCGGGGATGTAGCTCAGCGGTTCCATGGCCTGCCTTGCAAGTGCAAGGACCCGAGTTCAATCCCTGGTACCGAAAAAATAAACAAAAAAAAGAAGGAGGAGTGAAGGTGTTGGAGGATGGGCAGGGAAATGGGGAAAAATACGAACCGAGATGGATTAGGTAAAGGTACAAATTTCCAACAATAATAGGTATACAATATTACACAATAAACAATGTGTACATAATATTATATTATACAATACATATGCAATATTATATTGTATACATTAAATGTACCAATAAAATTAATTTTTAAATAGCACCTACCTCATAGGTGTCATCTTCAAATTAAGATAAAGAAATTCTTATTAGAAGAAAAATATCACATCCCAGAAATGCAGAACCATTAAATTTTATGGTTATTTAGCTTTTTCTGTGTCTTGCCCACAGTTACTATTTTTTCTTTCCTGTTTTAATTTTTTATTTATTTTCAATTGATAACAATTGTAGATCTTTATGGGGTGCAGTGTGATATTTCAGTACGTACGTATATCATGTGATGGTCGACTCTGGGTCTCTAGGTTGTCTGTCATGCCAAGCAGTTATCATTTCTTTGTGAGGAGAGCGTTCGACTTCCTGTCTTCTAGTTATTTTAATGTGCATTGCACAATAACTGAAAGGTGGTCAGCAGTGGCCCCACTCGTGTTTTGAAGTGTTGTGCTTCTTCTGGTGCTCTGCTAGGACAGGACTTGTGCTCATGCTCATTTATACCTTGTCTCAGAAGTGAAAAGAGGGTTTAACAATTACCTTGACATGTTTCTGTGTTGCTTTACCTTTCACAGAGCGCTACATGTACTATATCGTCTCATTCAAACCTTGCAGAGACCTTAAAGAACAGATGCAAAGCACAGTAGTTATCGGAGTACAAAGAGTGTTTCACTGATGAGTCACCACATTAGGGTTACAGTTGGGATTCCTGCCTGAATGCCTAAATGCGACCTGAATGCAGTAAGAGCCAAGTGCCCCATCGTGAGATGACGCCCCAGTTGGAAGCCTCTCAGGGAAGCCATCATTTTCAGAACAAAGAAGAAACTCTGTCATGACTGTACCTGTCCCCACCAGCATTTTCTCCTTATCCTCTCCTGTTTCCATTCAAGCCATATCACAGACCTGGTCTTTCATCCGTCTAGCCTCTCCCTTGCCCTATTCGCTGTCTGGAAAACTGTGACTCCTCTTTCAAAGCCCAGGACAATTGTTATCTTTTATGAGGAGCAACCCCAAACTTCAGCTCCCCACAAAACATTTTCTCAGGTTTTGTAAATACAGACATAGTGCCCCATGACTGGAGACATACATATATCCCTTCCCGTAAGAATGAGTGTTTTTCAGTGGCAGCAGCCACCTCCCATTTGAATGACACTCACTGCTTTTCTGAATGTGTCTAGCATAGAAGGTACCTAAGAGGTGTTCCCAGATGAGCTTTCTTATTGTTTTGTAACTGTATCGAAGGTACTACATCCCAGGACATTTATCTACCTGTTTTGAGAATCATAACACTCAGCCCTTACAAAAGCCCTGTGAAGTTGGTTCTGTCATTCTTGCCTGAGGAAACTGGGCAAAGAAAGAGGAAACTGGGAAAGAAAGGAGAAGCAAAACCCAGACCATGCACCACAGCTCCAGAGCCCAGACCTTTGGCAACTCTGCTCAGAGACCATTGTTGGTTGTTTAAAGATGTGCTAAATGATTCACAGACCACTCAGAGCTCTTGCAATATTAGTAGTCAGCTAAATTTGACTCTATACCTGTGCTTAAAAGGGAGATGAAGGAAACTCAATAGGAAAAGAGCCTGACTCCCAGTCTTGCCAAAAACAAAACTTGCAACTGTTTTCTTCTGTTACACTAAGAATATTTTCCAGGGATGGTAGTGCTGGGACGTGCCTGTAATCCCAGGACTCTGGTAGGCTGAGACATGAGGATCACAACTTTTGGTCTAGCCTGAGCAACTCAACTAGTTAGGGAGACCCTGCCTCAAAAAAAAAAACTTAGAAAGTTAGGATGTCACTGAATGTAAAAGGCCTGAGCTCAATCTCCAGTATCACAAAAATTAAATTCAAAAATATTTGCTTGGGTGTCATATTTTTATTATCTCTTACAAAGTCTGGAAAAAACTACAGTCTGAGTGCATCTTATCTTCACAGTTTGTGATGACCCTTGCTTTTCTTAACCGTCCCTTCAAAGACTGTGTATGAATCTGATATTATAATGAGAAGTTGAACCCCTGCTTGGCTTTCTTTTCTCCTCATTGTACTGCAGGTGGTATTTGGTGGGGAAGGGAGGGATTGGAAAGCACATTTTCCTCTGGCATCCCTGGGAAGGTGCACTAGGAGGGAAACCCAGGCAACTTCCTTGAAGTCCCTCCTGCTATGAGCAGAAAGATGGGGCCATTGTCCCTCACATGTACAGTGAAAAATGTATCTTTGGGTTGATTCTCCAACTGAACTATGCACCACTGCAGAGCAGAATTGGAGAGTGAGGTAGAGTGAGTTTGCCTTCCTCTTTCAAGTTCGTAAGGGCATCTTTCTGCCTTCTTTTCCCAAGTCAGCAGATATCCGGGGTCCCCTACATGGTGTTATTGTGTGGACCTTCTTTAAGGAGCTTCACATCTATCTGGCTGTAGACTGTAACACAATATGTACTTGAATTATGGCTAAAATAAGGATAAACTCAAAGTTCTAGGACGAGTCAGGCAAAGAACGAATTCTTGTAGAAAAATAAGACGTGTATTGGGAATGAAGAATCTATTCATGATTCCATGATGGAAACAAAAGTAATTCATTAATTCCCATAAGTTCTCATAGAATATTTTGGAGCATGGCAGAATCACATCATTGCATAGAGAAGTAGCGATACTGAAGGAAACAGAAATTTAGCAAGAGATAGAGGGTATAATGATGATATACCATATTCAGTGCCTATGAAATGCTACATGCTTTGCAGGTATTATTTGATTCAAATAGAAACATAGAAGGCCAGCATCGTTGGCCCATTGTACAATTGAAGAAACTAAAGCCCAACAGTATTAAGTAATTTGCCCAAGTTCAGAAATTTCCTAATTGCCAGAGACAGGATTTGAAAGTAGGTCTATCTTTTGTGGCCTTGGCTTTTTGTATTTCACCATGATGCCTTTCAAAAAAAAAATCATAGAAAAGGCAAACAAGTGATGCTGTTCTTCCTCAAGGACATGAAAGGAATGTGCAAGCAGCACAGTCATTTTCTGTAGCAAAATCTTTTAATTATGACCCAAATCGCAGCCCTGCCGTGATAAGCTGATTGTAAGCTCACTTGAAGTCAAAGCACTTCACAGCAAGTTCAGTGGCTACACTTTGGCTCTTTTTCTACTAGCAAATAGAGAATCCTAGGAAGGTATGTTTTATCCAGCTTAGACCAAAATGTTATACAGTGAGACACTTATAAGGATGCCAGCAGGTGGTGGATGAAAGGGTAGAATTTGCAACTTACCATCTCTGAAACTTCATTTGGGAACTTACTGCTCTTGCCTTCTGGGAAAGACAGCACATCTCTTCTGAGGACTGTTTTAGGAAGTACTAGTAGGAAGCGTAAAGGCTCTGAATGAACAGGTTAGCAGGACTGTCTGGCTGTGAGCGTCTGTCTAACTGGATGGCATCAGAACTCACTCTGCAGCCCAGATGGAGCTTCCACGTCTCAGGAGAAACTCATGAGTCTGTGCTTGCCTGCTTTTTATAAATAATGAGACAACTTATATAATTTGCTTTCCAAGAGGGGTGATGTTTTTCATCACTACCTTTAATGATTCATTTACCCCTTTGTTGCTTTTAAAATTGACAATTGTCAGTACCTATGAATCTAATAATGTCAACACATTATTATCAACCCCAAAATTTCCTGTTTTCCTTCTTTCAAAGCTTCTCTGAGTAGGGCAGGAGCTTCGCACAACCTTCATTTGTTACTTTGTTTATTCTTTCTTACTCCATCAAGTACATAGGTGCCTGTGCCTGTAACAAAATATATGGGATGCGTGTATACACGCGGGATCAGAAAGCTCTGCAACAGGAAGGCTGTCCCGGGTCTGCTGCACCCCTATGTCTGCGACAGAGGATGGAGAGGGATATGCTGAAGGGGTCCAAGTAGAAGGCTTAGAAGAAGAAGAGACAACAATGAGAAAAAGAAAAGATATTCTGGAAGAAAACCTATGTCCAGGAGAGCCAATGAACTGCTGTATTTTAGTTAAGCACCCTTCCCCTGAGTCATTATTGACAGCAAACCACCTCACCTCGAGGTAGTTTCTCCGTGACAACCTGACAGCGTTGGCATAAGACTGAATTCGTTCATCCGCTTCTTCAACATTTACTGTTCTCACCCTGCACTGATCATTGCACTCCCCATTTTGAGCAATGAAAATAGGGGCTAGCAAAGGGCTACGAATAATTTATTCCTTGAAGTTTATAGTCAATGTATTGATTGTGCATACTTGTCACCAATGTGGGTACAACCGACAACTCTTTCTAGAATGGATAATTTATTCATTTGAAAAGTTTAGAACTGTGCTTTCAGGCCCGAAGCAATAAGTATATCTCATAAACCTAATAAAGAAATAAAAGCATGCTAAGTCACTTTCATCGAAATTCTAATATCTAGCTGAGGGAGATTTAGCTTACTGTGTCGCCCCACTAAAGAAAATGGAATAGATGGTGACTTGCCATGACAAGGTAAGTATCAAAAGAGAAATGTCAAACGTTGAATGAAGCTCTTTCAAGCTTGCCTTGCAGAAAGTTCAGCGGATAAATTCTGGGTGCTGGGCTCACACTTTACAGGCATGTTGATAGTTAATTAATTCTGTTCATTTAATAAGAAGTGGGGGGGGGTGGAGAAGACTCCAGTGACTGGCAGAGTTTTTGCAAGTCTGAAAGGCAGAAGTGGGACGCAAAGATAACTTCATGGATTTCATGGAGCGTTGCCACGTTACTATAGTTTCATCTCAGCAAAGGGCACTCTCCCAGCGGGTGTGTTATGTAATCCCTCGGTAGAGATGGGAACAGAACTGGACTCTGCAGAGGAAAAGCTGGTTCCATTAAAGGCCAATTGTACCCACAGAATCTGAGTCCCTAGTAAATACAGGGCTCTGAGGTTGGTTCTCCAACGGAGGGACAGACATGTAGCGGGAAGACAGTAGTCTCTGAAGCAAAACAGAAGTGATCACTATTTGTTCCTCCCAGGTTTTAATCAGAAGCTCCATGTCCTGCCTCGCCAGACCTCCGCGGCAGGAGGTGAGGCAAGAGGGACAGAGACCTGGGCCACTATTTCCTACATAAGGAGTCTGCCAGGTGCCCATAGAGCATTTTGAGTTTAGGGCTCAGGGTGCCAATAATTTTGCAAAGGCGACGCTTGATAGGAAATGATAATCATCAAATTTTCTTGGAAGCAGGTGATCTGTGCCAGGACCTCCAAGCAAAGCCTGAGCTCAGAAGATGTGTGGATATTTATACTGATCTGGGTGCTGACACTCATCATTTTCATAATTACTGTACTTATTTTTCCCATTTCCATGGGGCGAGCATAAAGGGTACATGAAAGCAACTATCCATATGTGCTTCTGTTTACTGAAGTTCACAGCTATCATCGTACAGTGCTGATTAATCCTCCCTCCTCCACGACACCGAGGCAGTTGCGTTCTAATGCCACCTTTATTACTGTTCGGCGGGTCCCCTACTACTGCATACAGAAATAGTGTAAATCACGGAACTAGTGCTCGAGGTCCATAAAATGCAAGGTTATGAATATTTCATTACTATACATTTTATTTCCCGGTCTATTCTGCATCTCCCAAAATGTTGTTTGTTTATTTATTGGTTGGTGTTCCCCGGGAATGCTTAATTCTTAAGACAAGGTGTGGACTGGATCACCAACCTCAGTCCTGCGACCTGAGCTACATTTGAAAGTCACGATCGATCGATGGGTTTTCTTCCTCTTTTGTTCATTCTTTTTCAACCCGCGAATACTTGATGGCCAGGTTACCTCACTAACAGGAGTTTCGGCTTCTTCATCATAATTGGGCTGATTTGCAAGCCCCACGAATCCACTCCCAAACATTTCTCCTGTGAACTACGGATACATATTTAAATTTTTCTCAACACCCCATTGTATCCTTCTTTGGCTGAAGTAAGCAGTTAGACTTTCGCTGCAGATCTTGGCAATGAAAGACACATTGTGTGAGCGCAATTAGCTTCCCTCCCTACGCTGGTACAAATGATTTGTATGAATCAGCTGGTCCTGCAAAAGATTCAGCCATTATCACCTGCTTCTGAATTTTCCTTCAGCCCCCAAATTCGTATTAACAAATAGCCAAGGGGATTCAATCTTAGCAAAATCAGAAGCACAGTCCCCTGAATGAAGATGTTAACTTCTCTCCTGCCATCGGGCATAGTAGATATTAATGCAACTCTCTGGTACAGGCTGCAAAATATATAAAATGTCATAATTATATCTGCAATTCAGCAATGAAACAATTTTCCCCCTTTCTTCACTGTCATCAGCATAATAGCAGCCTATGGGATTTGTATTTTCTGGCTGTGAGCCCTTTTATGGGCTGTGGAAAAAAAATACAAGCAGGTTAGTTTCACAGCTTTGAGACGGGCTCATGACAGAAATATTGCTTTTAATGTTATTGTCTTTTTCTGGCTTGTAACCCACCCTCTTTAGGTCGGAAGGCTTCATGTGCTGAGGCGGCATCACTTAGGGTTTTCTGATAAATCCCCACGTTCCCTTCCTGGCTTCTCGCACCCACCTGGACAGGGAAATAATTAACCAGCTTTTAGGACCATGCTATGTTTTCTAGGGATAGAGTGGAAACATAGGTTGGGAGAGGGGTTAGTCAGAGAGGAAGGAAGTCAGAGGAAAGCGGGTCCCTGCAGTTTCTCATGGAGACATA